CCGGTTCCTGCAACCCCTTCTTCCTTTCTCGAACCCCTTCCTCGTTTAACTGGGTAGACATTTTTCATTAGGTGTTCTTTGAGTATTTAAGAACGTACATTAGATTATTTGCTTTGTTGGGTGTAGGAAGAGTTTGATGGAAATTAATATGGCGGACAAATTTAGGTACATTGAGGTACCGGGGTATATTGAGGTACATGGAAGATTGTGTCTGCAGGATTTAGGATGCTGGGAGTTGAGAATTGACGGAATTTTACGGAACTTTCTTTGAAAATATGTTATATTCACTAATCTGAAAATTTGGAGAAATAGGTGGTGTTTGGGTTCTTCGTATTTTGGTATTTTCAAGTTTTGATTAGAAATTTAGAAATTTAGAAATTTAGAAATTTAGAAATTTAGAAATTTAGAAATTTAAAAATTTAGTAATTGAGGTATTTAGAAATGTATAGGTGTACAAATGTAAAAATCTAGAAATGTAGAAGTGTATAAAATTCAGAAATGTAGAAGTCTAAAACAGAAATCTAAAAATCTAGAAATCCAGAAATCTGGAAATCCAGAAATCCAGAAATCTAGAAATCCAGAAATCCAGAAATCCAGAAATCTAGAAATCCAGAAATCTAGAAATCCAGAAATCTAGAGATCCAGAAATCTAAATATCTAAAAATCTAGAAATCCAGAAATCTAAAAATCCAGAAATCAAGAAATCCAGAAATCTAGAAATCTAGAAATCTAGAAATCTAGAAATCTAAAAATCCAGAAATCTAGAAATCTAGAAATCTAGAAATCCAGAAATCCAAAAGTCTAAAAATTTGGTAAAAGAACAATTTACCTATTTTCAGGTTACTAAGTTTTAACCTTCTAAGTTTCAACTCTTTAAGTTTTAATCTCTCAAGGTTCAACTATCTTCCCTCACGTTCTATTCTTCCTCACGAACATTATTGACAATGTTAGGGTACCGAAGAGTTACTGCGCACTGTTTAACTATAAACAATGATGACTAGATCCTCCCGAGACATTTCTCATTGTAACTACATTACAACTTAATCGATCCCCTGACGGCGGAACAGAATTATGAGCCTCTGCGATGGGGGTAATTCGTCTGTCATTAGTGAAAATCAGGTTATCAGATGCGCGTTATGGATCATTTATTCTTTAATTAAATAAAATCGAGTGTCATCAAATAGAATATTTAAGCATGAATGTCTACTATAACGTTTAAATTTTGATTTTAGCATTTTTGATGTAGGCTTTTGATGAAATATTTCTGTCAGATGTGTCTTTCTCCTAACTGCTGTAGTAAATGGCGATATACAATGTGGTACATTTATTATGAATATTATTAATAAATATCATAATTTAAGTTTTGCATTTAATACGTTATTAGTACAATTTAATAATGCATCTCAAATAAACCAAGTTGATGACAAAACAATATTTCTGAGGGATACAACTTTCATTTTAATTAAAATATTTATTTAAAAAATGTATGAAAACTATTAATAATTGTAATTTTATAATATTTTTATTTAATAACACACAAGCTTTATAAATGCCTTATTAATTAATTCTTTCCTGTAGAATAATCTCTTTATGTATCGAAATTATACACAAACGCGAGAAATTTTATTACATTTGAAACGGAGAAATAAAAAAGGAAGATTTAATTACAAGAGAGAGCGTATTTTAGCAGACTTTGAACCTGCAAATCTTTGCTGTACTTGACGGATATAGTTTCTGCGCGGAGATCCACGTGGTCGTGGCACTGACCCCTGCAACGTAACCCCTCTTGGTATCTGACGTGCATGCACGAGGAAAAAGTTTTGGGGTTGCCACGTATGTTTCAACCCCAGTGGGTTCTCTCCCTATAATTCTTAAGGGAGGTAGTGCATAATGGAAAAAAAACAGCGAGTCAGAAGACAGATGGTCACGATGCTCGGCCGTATTATACCCATGTTAAGAAACAGATTCTCAGGCTTCCGATAAAATTTATGGTCGAAAGTTGCGCAGCGTGTTGTTGCTCCTGTTCCTCGACCAAAAAAATGTGTTCTCTACAGATACTCCTCAACATGTAAACAATATTTTAAACGTAGCGATTGTTGGGTCATTTCAATATAAACGCTTTTTATTTAATATAAGTTTTTATAGAAACATTTATGAAAATTTTCATTTGAAAAATATGGACATTTCTATAAATTCTTAAGAATGTATTTAAAAATTAAATACTGAAATTGTTTAAATATCTATCCATTTATAATCGCTGTATAACCTAACCTATTCCCAACATATGTCAGAGTAAAATAAAGCGTTTCGTGTCGTCAAAATGGCAGACGATTCCACCAAACGCATCCGTGAAAAAGGAAGATTTCCTGGAGTAAAGCAAAGTGAAAATAAAAGGCAGAACACGAAGAGACAAGTGGAGGAAGAGTCCCGTGTCCTCCGCAGCCTGAATCATGCATTCTCATCCCCTAGAAACGAACTAGAACGCTCTGCGGTCCCGCGACTCGTCCGGCAAATAAACAATGTTATTTGTCCTCCAGGATCTCGACCCATTCGCAGTGGTCCAAAAGACTTGGTGAGGATGCCACGGTAGGATGAGTGTCGGAGTTCCGCGTTTTCACAAAACAAAACGTTGAGAGAAAGGACGTTAATCTGTAGCCGGCCACCCGAGGCTGACGCGACTGTGCGACCTCGCCTATTCAAGCATACGTGACACCACTTATCATCAACTACCGTGGGTTTATTGTGTCTGAAGCCTAGTTTACATTGATAGAGTAAATGGAGCGAGTGAAACTGGTAGGAAGTATTTTTTTACTGTTGTGACTAATTTAAGTTTAGGTGGAACATCGTAATGGATATTTCGTTTACTATGTTAGTACAAATCAATCAGATATTAATTACTAGAATTTTTTAGTAAAAAGCATTTCTTATATTATATTTTCGGGTATTGTATTATTACAACGATTCAGCTATTGGTTAGTAGAGTACTCTAATAGGAAGTATTTCAGTTATTATATTGTTGCAAACGATTCAGATAATACTTACAAGTATTGTTAGTAAAATACGTTATTGAAAATTATTTCGTACTATTGCAAATACAGATGCTAAATAATAAAGTACTCTAACAATTTCGTTTACTGCTACAAATGATTTACACATTGATCCGTGGAATATTGAAGTCTATGTGATATGTGTGGACATGTGTGGAAAATGTGTAAAAACACATCTGGTGATGCAACCCGTAGAAATAAAATGCTTGGCAATACAAATACAATGCGATACAACATGTACAAATACAATGCATGGCAACATGTGAAAATAAAATGTGTGGCGATATAACGTGTGACGATACACGTGACGACGGTACAATATGTGGCCATAGAACGTGTGGAAATACAGTGACGGGGTAGCAACGTGTGAAAATACGTGTGGCGATACAGCGTGTGACGACAGTAACATCTGTGCGCATACAATGCGTGGAAATTCTTTATATTATCTGTACTTGGAATAATAACCTAACCTAAATGTAACCTAAAAATAACATATAATTTTTCGTGCGTTAACGTGAATGATGTGAGATCTATATAATTCAAATAACACTAAATTCAACAATTTCCTTATATAACAAATTAAATCATTAAATTCTCTAATTTAGTTTGTAAATTAAGTATAAATAATTGTTACATGTAATAATTATAAAATGTTGTAAAACAACTACACGCCTTTCAAGTTTCGTTAACAAATCAGTATTCTAATTTTATTAAGAATTGTTAAGTTAATTAATTTGTCAAAGAAAACAGATAGCTTCATAAAACATAGTCCAACACAATAATGTTTGTGTTCTGCAATTTCACAAGAAAAAGATTTCCCATCAAAATGGCTCATGTTATATCGAGAGGTTTCTCTTCTTAATCTGCTATTTCTTTGTCTTATCTTAGCTCAGCTCTTAGTTTCACTTTGTTTCTTCTTCATCACTGTTTACTATTCTCTACCTTTGTTTTCGGACAATCGAATCTGTCAACGACAGAACAAACTGTCGCAAGCAACAAAGTGCTATTTGAACAAGCCTGAACTGGCGAAGGCTGAACAGATAGTCTAGTCAGTATATTTTTGCGGAAATAACATGTGTCTTTTTTTCTAACAAACTTTGTTTGTCATTTCGATCAGAATAAAGAGAAGTGAATATTTATAATAATGCACTAATGTTTACACAAAATTAATTTTGGCAAATTGTAAGATTTTATTAAAGATTCTTTTCTTTGTAACTAATACACTTTAAGCATTAAATATTTTTGTATATAAATATTTATGTAAGTGTAAATCATATAAGAGGATTCTTTAAATGGCACTCAATGGTGATGACATCTGATGTTTTTCAAATAACTGATTTTCTTGCATTATATTTCTCTTTAGCTTATAATATTATAAATTTGTATTTATCTACAAATTTATATGGATACACGTTAATGATAATTATCTACATTTATTGTATAAATAATTTGCAAACTAATTCCAGTGTTCAAATCTTTCCTTGACAATATTATTATCAATAACTAATTAGCAATCTCAAAAATGACAGATAAATTGTTATTTCATATTCATTTTGATCAGTATTGAACAATGATGAAGCAGTTTTCCTGAAGTTAAGTTATAAGTAAATTTATTAGATGGAACTCCGGCCATGGCCATATAGCGAGACTACTGTGTATACACACTTCATCTACGTCCATACTCTTTCAATTTATTTTTATCATTTTTTTTTTTTCATTTCTATCAGTAGTGAATCAGTTTTAAGAAAACTTTAAAGTTAAACAATTTTTTGGCGATATTCAAATGATGTTTGAAATAAAAATATTAAGGGTTGATAGAAGTTTAAACATGTTTAATGTTTACCTTCATGTCTACTTATGAAGACCTACCATAATTAATACTATAGCAATTATTAATTAATACAATGACTAATATATAATTTAATTCTAATCAAACGTTGTTTTATGTTGCAGATGAACCGTCCTATTCAAGTGAAGCCGGCGGACAGTGAAAACCGCGGAGGTAAGATTACGCACTCGAATTCCTAAGATCTTTAGAAGCAAGTAGATCAACCGTAGATTTACTCAAATAATCGACTAATTCAATTTTTTCTAGCGTTTTTATAGTACAAATCGTTAGAATTTTTGAGTAGAATCAATTACCGAAATTTTGATTAGTACAAGAGGTTCGTTAAACACAGCTAATTATATAATTTAATCGTGAGCTAATTCCGAGCAGCGATCGTTATTGCAAATTACGTTCTCTCGCGCAGCGATTTAAAATATACAACAAAGGCCGTTATCGATCAAAATGGTCGATAAAAAATAACTGACTTAATGGCGAGCAATGAAATATTTTTACGGAATTGAAAAGCATTCGCTGTAACGTATAGTAATACCCGTTGACAACCCATACGTAACATTCAATCGAGCAAACACATAAAAGTGCGCGACCTGATAAAAATTCGCCCCCGTACAATGCCCGCATTGTTTTAACGTTATGTACTATTCATTAATTTCGTGTCATTGAAAATATCACTGATATTTTCGCGTTCGCCCGCCAATTTTTTACGCTCCCTGAATTTTCTACAATGCACTCGACACGAATCGTCGAGCCTGGAGCGTTGAAAAATAAGATAACAATTGATTGCTTGCCAGGTTTTCTTATATTCGAAACAATGAACGCGCAGATAAATTAGAAAAATGTCGAAGGGATTTATCGAATATACATTGATATCATTTTTCTCTGAGGTATATTTCTCACTTCGTGTTCTCGAGTGCCAGGTTTTATATTCGGCAGAATACCTTTATCGGTTTAGGTAATCGAAAGTAATAAGTTGAGGAATAAATAACTGTCATAATTGTTCGCTTAATGCGCCAATAGCGTCATCTCGATTTTCATAAAGTCATAAGTACTCTGGTGTTTTGATTAATGAATTCAACTTGATCGTTTATCTTGGTTATTAATGCTGTGTGATGGATGAGATCGGAGAAAAATTCACCTTGCAATTATTTATTTTATCGAAAATGAGGATTGGAGAAAAAATTGTATTTTATTTTGGTGATATTTCAATTTTATGCGTTATTTGGTATGACGGCAGTGTAATATCGTTTGGAGTTTTTGATTGTGATTGTTTAATTGAGAAATAGTTTGAGATTAAACAATTTTTAAATTTCCCAAGATACAAATTTTATAATTTTTGAATTACCAACTTAGTAAATTTCCATATGTTTAGGTCCTTAAATCTTCAACTTTCCAAATCTCCAAATCCCCAAATCTCCTAATTCCCAAAGTCACAAAAGCCCAAATTGTCACACCAGATATTTAGATTATCAAGTTTCTGAATTTTCAAATTTCTCTAAATACTAAATCTCTTAATATCCAAGTGCCTAAACCTTAAAATCCTCAAATTCCCAAATTTTCAAATTCCCAAACTTTGACACTTCCTAATTCCAAAATATTTAGACTCTCAAATTCCTAAATTTTTAAGTTTCTAAAATTCCAAGAGTTCAAATGCCTGAAACCCCAATCACTCAGATTAACAAATCTTCAAATCCCTAAATTTTCAAGTATCCAAATTTCATAACTTAAGGACATATAAGGTCATACTAAGGTCGCAGACATATGAAAACATATGTGACGTCACACGCCCTTACAACATAGCAACATATAGAAACGCCTCATGACATCACACATCTTTACAATATAGCGATACATAAAAACGTCTCATATCATCACACATCCTTCGAACCATATAGCAACGTCCAATAACATCAAACGTTATGTGAAATATCGTATACGTTCATATAGGAATATCTAGTAACGTCACACGTCGCTATAACGTAGTCATATGAAAACATCACATATCACATGTCCACCGTAATGATACATAGAAACGTCTCACATTATTACACATGCTTAGAACCATATAGGAACCTCTAATAACATTAAACATTATGTCACATATAGCATAAGACCATATAGAACATCTAATAACGCCACACGTTGTTATAACATACTCATGTGAAAACATCACATATCACATGTTCATGCAACGTAATGATACAAACTTAGTATCATAGAAACCTCTAATATCGCACATAGCTACGTTAAATATAGCTTAGGACCATATAACAACATGATACATACGTCTCATATGATTACATATTCTTAGAATCATATAGAAACCTCTAATAACATCGTACATAGGTTGAATACACTGTAGGAGAAGAACTAATATCATCACACATCCCCACAACTTAGGGCCACATAGAAGCATGCTATCACACGTCACTCCAACAGACCGACATATGGAAACGTGACATATCATCACACTTTCGAGGTACATAGAAACGTCTTATCCTTTCAGTGAACCCCTAATAACGTCACAATAAAATATCGACCTAACGTTGTTAGGTCCCCAACCTAGGGTCCTAATTCTAATCCAAAAAGACATTCACGTGTTGGGATTCAAGTGGATCTCGCTGTGATCCATACTAGAAACACCGTCACAATAAAATATCGACCTAACGTCGTTAGGTCCCCAACCTAGGGTCCTAATTCTAATCCGAAAAGACATTCACGTGTTGGGATTCAAGTGGACCACGCTGTGATCCATAATAGAAACACGGAGAAAAAGTGGAACGAAGTGTATGCAAGGAGAGTCAGGGAAGAAACGGGAAAGCGGGTTAGAGAGTGGTACGACGGAAGTAGATGAAGGGGGGTAGGGGACCGTAATTCATATGCTAATCTGGCGTAGATGCCATTGTAATCTCCGGTCGCTCGCCTCGGTGTGGCCCCACAAAGCCTCAGCTTGACGCGGATGCTGGAGAAGTGATCCAAAGCTCAACCCTGTCACTGCTTCTGCTTCTGCTTCTGCTGCCATCGCCTTACACGGTATACCTATGTAGAGGACGTATCTACGTAGTTGCAGACTTCAATCACCGTGTTACTGAACTTCGTCGCCGTCGATCCGTCTTCGGCTCGTTGCGACATAGTCTTCTGACAACAGACCTTTTGTCGTACGATGTGTCTTCCAATGCGTGTATCTTCTTTCATGGAGTAGCGTATTTTGTCCTAGACCTTGGTACTTCTATCTAAGAAATTTTGACAAAGGTACCTTTCGTATGTTTACCTTAGACTGTGAATTGAATTTAGGAGCTAAAATAATGGGAGATAACATTAACATGGGGGTTGAAAGAATCGGTGTTAAATGAGGTGTAATAAGGAATAATAAAATGGTCTGCTGTTAATAGTCACTGCTTTAAGTTATAGGAGTGTTATTTTTTGTTTCTGAAAATGAACTGTCAGCTTTTAGCTTATTGTTAGAGTATTCACTAGCATGTTCTATAAACAGAAATAAGGAAAAACAGTGTTATTTACACAGAGGTTCACTAGTGATTTATAAAAAAGTTGCAATAAAAATATAAGACCTAGGCAATATTCTATGAGGTTGTTGATGCAGTATTATGTAAAAATAGATGGACGATGTTTATCGAATATGCTTTTTCTAGCCGTGTTTACTATTTGAAATAATAATACGCTGCTGGAACCTATTTCTTATCAAACGATGACACAAGGATAATTTATATGTATACTTGTTTTATATTACCTAACTTAATTAACACATTTCTAATTTTCGTAATACAGAAGTGTTTAGCTTTATAAAATTTTTATATATTTAGAAGTTTTATATAAATTTCTAATAACTTAAATTAAATTTTCAAAAAGTACTTCATACTATCAATTATATATTAATTATGCCTGTACCTTTACAATTTTAAATAATCTTTAATTAAATAAATTTGTAACATAGAACAAATTCGTTTATTCATATATTATCATTTTGTGATATTTATTATTATTTACATATTATATAAGAATAAAACAATGTATCTTTCTACAAAATTAATCGTCACCAAGATTATTTTGTAATTAAAATTGCATAATTAAATAATTATTTCATAAAAATAAAAATTCCTATAAAATATATAATATTCAGTAAGTAAAAATAAAATAAATTAAAAGTATGATTACTTAATATTAATTTAAGTGTGATCAATCATATTTAGACCTATCCTACAAATAATTTGCAAGATCAGCACGAAATTGAGAATATCTGTTAATCATCCAAGATTCGTGATAAAATAAATTTTGTAATTAAAAGGCACTTCGTAACGGTGTCATAAAACACGAGTATCGTTTATCGTCGATATCTTCATCGAGCGCCGTTTCCATGAAATTTATCGCCTTCAGATATTTTCTTTCCGTGATATTCCGAAGGATATAAGTTCGTAAAAATTCGACATTACGTATGGGTGTTTTTAGCCGCCATGTTCTCATTGTTTCAAACGACTCGCTTTTTCTACTTTTAATGACTGCCCTTTACGCTAGCCATTTCGCGAGCGTCGTCACACGGCTTAATTACGCCATTTTATAGATTCCTTTGTGCTTCACTCGCGAAGTAATATCCTGGCAACAGTACAAAAGATAAATCAGGTTTTAATTGCAAGACGTCGTTGAATTAAAGCGTTAAACCGGCAAACGGTACGGACAGCTTGAACTTATCTCGTAGTTGTTCTTCCAATTATTTTGTATGCAATTTATTCAAGGAGCACCGTCCACAAATTGCTACGAGATTCTTTGCACGCTTAACGATCGCGGCATTAATTGAGCGACGCTTCGTAAAAGTGTTTGCCTCGCTTTTATTTTGTATACTCGAGCTGAATTCTTTTCCCTATATATTTAACGGGGTACCAATTGCATTAATTGGCGGAGAAATGTCCGGAATATGATCGGTTAATTGAACATTTTAATGTACATTTTTCAACGAATTTATTGGCGAGGTATTAAATTTTTAAACGCGTTACGTTGAATTGAGGGCAATCAAGTTTTATAATATTGCAGTTTGATAACTGCGAAATTATTACCAGAACGACGAACCTGTTTTTCGTATCATTTTTTTATTTGAAATAAATCAGCTCGTGAAACGTATTTCCGCAGTAAATTGGTAAACTTTAATT